TGGCTACGAGTGCACCTGCGAGCCGGGGTACACAGGTGAGAGCAGGGGCACGGTGGCCACTGTGGCACCCTGGAGACCTGGTCTGGATTCAGCCTTGCACCAGGGAGCCCTAGGATGTCCCCTGTGCCCGCAGCGGTGCAGGGGTGCCTGCAGCTGGTGGTGCCCCACACAGCCAGGGCGAGGTGCAGCGAGGAGGGGAGATGCTGCCATCCCACTTGCTGGAGGTTTTGCACCCTCCAGCGCTCCTGCTTGTTCAGGAGGGTGACCCTGGCTCAGGCCGAAATCAAAGGGGTGTCTGGTGCCACAAACTCGACTCCTGCTGCGCCCACTCCCATGGGTATCAGGTTGCCGCCTTGTCTGACTGGTTTGTTTGATCACTGCTGGAAATGGTGGAGAGCTTTGATGGGAGCAGCCCCCGCCTCTCCCCGCTTGCGCGGCCCCTTGTCCTCCTGCCCGCCGGGAGCTGCAATAAAGCCCGGCTTTGTTGGCCGTGGCAGGTAGGGTTACAGGCTGAAACCGACTCCCTTCGTTATTCCCTCCTGGACCAAACGAGCCCAGGGTACAGCCTCTTCCCAGTCATGTTTAATTAAGCCAGGCGGGCGATGCAGGGGGGTGTGAAGTCACCCTACCTAGAGGGCAGCCCGCTCCTACGGCACACGTGTGCCTGGAGATTCGAGCCTCCGGCCGTTCCCCGGGTGGCTGCAGGGGGACCTGCCCGGTGGGTGCCCCCCGGGAGGCGGCACGTGCCCACTATGCCGTGCCATGCATCCTATGGGGTAACGTTGCATTGCCCCCCCGCCTCGCCTTTCCTAGGGCGTATGTGCAACATCAACATCGACGAGTGCTCCAGCAACCCCTGCCACAACGGGGGCACCTGCAAGGACGGCATCAACGGCTTCACCTGCCTCTGCCCCGAGGGCTTCCATGACCCCAAGTGCCTGTCCGAAGTGAACGAGTGCAACAGCAACCCCTGCATCCATGGGAAATGCCACGACGGGCTGAACGGGTAGGCTGGAGGCTGCGGGGGCCACTGGGACCAAAGGGCTACTCAGCAAAGTCGGAGCTAGCAGCCGGGCAAGCGGCCATCCCTGATGCCATTGCTTGTCCGTGCTCTGTGCTAGTCCCAGGGGATGTTTCCCTGAAAAATGCGATTAGGAACTTGGGCTTTGCTGCGTAAATGATGGCTGGTGGAGCTGGGAGGGTCAGGTTGGACCAGATCCTGTGCTTTATGCCCCAATTTTTCCCCAAAGCTACAGGTGTGACTGTGACCCAGGCTGGAGCGGGACAAACTGCGACATTAACAATAACGAGTGTGAGTCCAATCCCTGCATGAACGGTGGCACCTGCAAGGACATGACCAGCGGCTACATCTGCACCTGCAGGGAGGGCTTCAGCGGTAAGGGTGCAACCAGGGATGCTGCCCCGTCCCCCCCCCATGCTGGGGCCTGGGTAGGAGTTCTGGGTGGGGGTCCCCGTGACACTGGACAGGCTGGAGGCTTTGCTGTGGGGATGGCGGAGACCCCGGGTCTGGGTGGGAGACGTGACAGTGCAGCCAGTTTGGGGACCCTTGAAGTTTGAGCACCCGTGGCTGGAGCTGAGAGCAGGAGGCTCTTCCAGGGCAATGGGTGGGCCATTGCCACCTCATCCCCACCGTACCCTCAGCCCCCTCCCACCTCCATCGCAGTCACTTTTATCTGTTTTTCTTAACGCAGGACCCAACTGCCAGACCAATATCAATGAATGTGCTTCCAACCCCTGCCTGAACCAGGGCACGTGCATCGACGATGTCGCTGGCTACACCTGCAACTGCCTCCTGCCCTACACAGGTGAGGGGGAACACCCTGCGCCCCCCAGGCCCTCGCCGGGGCTCCACGGGGCTGCTGCTTCGGGTGTGACAGCAAATTGGTCCCCTCTGCATGTGGAAGGAGCCAGCACCAAGCGCAGAGGCTTCCCTTGCACTGCCCCAACATGGGGCTGGCCGTGGCCGTGGCTCCACCTCCCCGTGCCGTGGCGCAGCTGGAGGAAATTTGGAGGAGCTTTAGGAAGCAGCCAGGCAGAGCTTCCTCCCTTGTCTTCTTCCTCCTCCTCCTCCTGGAGGGCACTGAGGCAGTGGCTTGGCTGCAGCCTGCACCCGGGGCAGCAGCAGCAGGCAGCCACCCCACTCACACCCCACCGTCCTGGGGGGTTGGCGCTGCCGGTGGCCCCGTTCTCCTGCCATGATGCTTGCGCTGGAAAAAGCGAGTCGAGGCCGAGGGGCCAGGGGATTCTGCTGAGCCAATTCCTGTTTGCCGGCCTCCCGCTTCCGCTCGCGCAGAGCAGCAGCCGGTGCACAATTGCAGGAAGCTGTGAGCCGTTTCCTGCCCTCCGCAGTGGCCGTAGAAACCCCTGGGGGGACGGGGACGGGGCGGGCGGAGAGGGGAAGGCTCTGGAAAATAGCAAAGGCCAGTTCGGGAGATACTGGCTGACAGGGAAGATAAGGGTTCGGAGGGAACGTGTCCCTTGGCTGGATGTAAACAGGAAAAGTGGCTGAGAGGGACAGGAGGGGAGCGCAAGGGGGGAAAGACACCCTGAGCTGCGCTTCCCTGCCAAAGGAAGCGTGCAGCGCTTTAATGCAGCCCAGATTGCCAAGGCTTAAAGGATTCATGGGGGGCCTGGGGTCACGGGGGACCACGGATGGAGGAGGTGGCCCCAGCTGGGCTGCCCTGGGGCAGTGGGGGAAGCCCAGAGCCTGCCCCAGGGCTGGCAGCAGCCCAGGGCGGGGGACAAAGGTAGCGGGGTCTTGGGCCACCCATTATTTTGGAGAAGGGTGTCAGCGGGTGCTTTTGCCTGTGCAGGAGCCACCTGCGAGGACGTGCTGGCCCCCTGTGCTGGTGGCCCCTGCAAGAATGGCGGCGAGTGCCAGGAGTCAGAGGACTACGAGAGCTTCTCCTGCAGTTGCCCCTCTGGCTGGCAAGGTAGGGGCATGGCCCAGCTGGGGAGCAGCAGGCAGGCGGCTGCCTGCGTGCCCTGCCAGGCGGGAGCAGCCTCACGTGGTGCCCAGCCTCAGGGAGGGTCCTGACCTGCCCAGGGCTCAGCCAGGTGGACGGGACGAGGCCATTGCCCGCACCCCTTGGTGAGGGTGGTTTGCTGCGAGCGGTACCCAAGATGTCATCGTCCCCGGGGCTTTTGCCAGCGCCTCCAGCCCATGCGGTCCCTGTCCCGCTTTGTCCTGCAGGTCAGACGTGCGAGATCGACATCAATGAGTGCGTGAAGAGCCCCTGCCGCAACGGGGCCACGTGCCAGAACACCAACGGGAGCTACCGCTGTGCCTGCAGGACCGGCTTCTCCGGCCGCAACTGCGACACCGACATCGATGACTGCAAGCCCAGTAAGAGCAGGGGCCAGTCTGTGGACCGTGCTCAGCCTGGTCCCGAGCCATCGGCTTCTCTGCCCCTCCTGGGGCTGGGACACTCCTCCCTGTGCACGGGCGAGCCCCGTCCGCTGCTTTGGCCTGGGCTGTGCTGCAAGCCCTGCTCAGGCTTTCGGGCATCTCGAGCACGTGCCAGTCGAGCTGCGTCAGTCCAAGGCCAGGTGGGAGCTGGGGGGAGAGTGACGTGCAGGCAGTCAGCAAGTGTGTCCCATGTGCCCTCCTTGTCCCCAGCCCCGCAGTGGGGCCAGGCTGGTCTCTGCCTGGTCCATGGGCTGTGTCCCATCCCTCGGCATGGCCAGGGGTGTGTGCAGGGACAGTGCTGCAGGGCAGCTCCCGGGCAGGGCTGCTGTACCGGGGCTGGACCGTTGCATCTTCACATGCATGTTCCTCCTCTCCAGATCCGTGCCACAATGGTGGCTCCTGCTCCGATGGTGTCGGCATGTTCTTCTGCGAGTGCCTGGCTGGTTTCCGTGGGCCCAAGTGCGAGGAGGACATCAATGAGTGTGCCAGCAACCCCTGCAAGAACGGTGCCAACTGCACCGACTGCGTCAACAGCTACACCTGCACCTGCCCCTCTGGCTTCAGCGGCATCCACTGCGAGAACAACACGCCTGACTGCACGGAGAGGTACAGCCCAGCGTGGCTCCTGCCGCGGACGCAGCCTTTGTCAGGGCTGGAGCAAGGGGCCGAGGTCCCTGCGCTGCCCCATAGCTCTGGGCCAGTTTGGGTGGGCTTTGGCGTGGAGCACGACCAGCGGTCACTCACAGGGATGTGATGTCTGTGTTCCCAGCTCCTGCTTCAACGGTGGGACCTGCGTGGATGGCATCAACACCTTCACCTGCGTCTGTCCGCCCGGCTTCACGGGCAGCTACTGCGAGCATAACATTAACGAGTGTGACTCCAAGCCATGCCTGAACGGGGGCACATGTCAGGACAGCTATGGGACGTACAAGTGCACTTGTCCCCAGGGATACACCGGGCTCAACTGCCAGGTAGAGGAGCCTTGGGCTGTCAGCTGCTGACCCCAGTGTCCGTCCATGCGTGCTGGCTGTGGGGATTTTGGGGGGGGTCACTGCAATCTCCAATCCTGCGGAAACCCTGCTGGGTCCTGACCCCCATCTCATGCTCTGCTCCCCCCAGAACCTGGTGCGTTGGTGCGACTCCTCTCCCTGCAAGAACGGAGGCAAATGCTGGCAGACCAACAACCTGTACCGCTGCGAGTGCAACAGCGGATGGACAGGGCTTTACTGCGATGTCCCCAGTGTCTCCTGTGAGGTGGCTGCTAAGCAACAAGGTAAGACCCTGCCATGTGGGGTCCCCAGGTGCCCTCCATACTGGGACATGCTCGGTTCTCTTGGTGTAGGGATCTTTGGCACAACCAGAATGATCTCAAGGGTCGCTGTAACGTGCACCCCCCGAGGCTGCAGTCCTGGCTGCGATCCCCGGTGGGATGCCCGGTGGCCAGGACGTGACCCTGCTGTGCATGGGTGTCACCGAGGTCCCCGCATCTCACTCTCCTCTCCCTGGCAGGTATCGATGTAGCTCATCTCTGCAGGAATTCGGGGCTCTGCGTGGACACCGGCAACACTCATTTCTGCCGCTGTCAGGCCGGCTACACCGGCAGCTACTGCGAGGAGCAGGTGGATGAGTGCTCCCCAAACCCCTGCCAGAACGGAGCCACCTGCACGGACTACCTGGGAGGCTACTCCTGTGAGGTGGGTGCCATGGGGGCAGAGATGCACGGGGGAAGAAGCACCAGTTACTGCTTTTCTGCTGCCCAAGGAGCTGCCCCACCTTCAGGCTGGATCAGGGCCCCTTTACCAGATTGAAGGCTGGGGTGCTGGCTGTGCTCCTGCAGCCGTGTGGGAATTGAGTGAACCTCTCTGATAGCTCCCCCCTTCCCTCCTTGTAGTGTGTGGCTGGTTATCATGGAGTTAACTGCTCAGAGGAGATCAATGAGTGCTTGTCCCACCCGTGCCAGAATGGAGGAACCTGCATCGATCTCATCAATACCTACAAATGCTCCTGCCCCAGAGGAACTCAAGGTAAATTAATTCCCCAGGCTGGGGCATTAGTGGGCTGAGCGTAGATATCCTTGGTATCTGCTCATTAGCTGCTCGGGCTAGCAGAAGCAAATGCAACAGTCGAGGTTTGTGTTTGCTTGCGAGCTTAGCCATCAAGGCCACGCAACCTTGGACGTGAGCTGCGCGGTGCTGCGAGCCTCCTGCTAGAGCGGTGGCTCAGACTGCCATTGAATTGGTCAGGCTCAGCCCCTTCGCCAGGAAGGTTCACACAAGGGCACCCCGATACTGTTTGATGAGCTGTGTGGGTTGTTCCCCCATTTCTCTAGGGGTGCACTGTGAGATCAATGTGGATGACTGCAGCCCTTTCTTTGATCCTGTCACCCTGGGGCCCAAGTGCTTTAACAATGGCAAGTGCACGGATCGGGTAGGTGGCTACAGCTGCATCTGCCCCCCTGGCTTTGTAGGGGAGCGCTGCGAGGGAGACGTCAACGAGTGCCTGTCCAACCCCTGCGATGCCCGCGGCACCCAGAACTGCGTGCAGCGGGTCAATGACTACAAATGCGAGTGCCGACCTGGCTACGCAGGTGAGCGCCGCGTCCCCCCTGCTCCCAGTGCCCAGCCCTGCAGCCCCCGGCCACCCACGCATCTCGCACGCCTTCCTCTGCTCCTCACATGCTCCTCTCCCTCGGCAGGCCGTCGCTGTGACACCGTGGTGGATGGCTGTAAAGGCAAACCCTGCAGGAATGGTGGAACGTGCGCGGTTGCCAGTAACACTGGCCGTGGCTTCATCTGCAAATGCCCCCCGGTAGGTACCTGCTCCTCTCCAGCTGTGAGCATGGGATGTCAAGCGGGCCCTTCAAGTCAGCCCCTTGCACAGAGGGCCAGTCAAGGGGCCAGTTTAACCCCTACGTCTTCCCTGGCTGGGGTAGCCAGGGGTAAGCATGGAGAGGAAGATGCTTTTCTGTGGGTGCTGGCTGGAGGGAGGTGTATCCGTAGATGCGTACCCTCCTCCCTTGCAAGGAGACTGGGTGAGGGTCAGGGAGAAGGAGGTGGCTCAGCCCTGCAAGTACGATGCACAGCTCTGTAGGACAGACCTTTGCCGGGTTGAGCATTATTTGCACCGCGTAAAGGCGGAGCAGGCAGCTATGGAGAAGAGCTCCCTTCATTTTGAGGGGGATGCTCTAACGGGGTTTACGTTCTAGATTATTCTTGCCCATCACTAGTTTCGGAGGATGTGCCCTGATTCGCTGGGTCTGTGCCAAGTTTCCCAGAGCACACGCGTGTGTTGGGCTGCTCGTAGGACAGTGTCACTGATGCTGGCTCCCTCTTTGCTGTCACCACCCCTAGGGATTCGTGGGTGCCACCTGCGAGAATGACTCCCGCACCTGTGGGAACCTGCACTGCCTGAACGGTGGCACCTGCATCTCTATCCACAAGAGCTCCAAGTGCATGTGCATGCCGGCCTTCACGGGTCCCGAGTGCCAGTACCCGGCCAGCAGCCCCTGCACATCCAACCCCTGCTACAACGGGGGCACCTGCGAGTTCTTCAGCGATGCCTCCCCCTACTACCGGTGCAACTGCCCTGCCAACTTCAACGGCCTCAACTGCCACATCCTCGACTTTGATTTCCAAGGAGGGATCGGGCAGGATATCATCCCACCCAAAATTGAGGAGAAGTGCGAGATTGCAGTTTGCGCCGGGTATGCCGGCAACAAGATCTGTGATGGGAAATGCAACAACCATGCCTGTGGCTGGGACGGGGGCGACTGCTCCCTCAATTTCAACGACCCCTGGAAGAACTGCTCCCAGTCTCTGCAGTGCTGGAAGTACTTCAACGACGGCAAGTGTGACTCTCAGTGCAATAATGCTGGCTGCCTCTACGATGGATTTGACTGCCAGAAATACGAAGGGCAGTGCAAGTAAGTGGCTTGCTCATTGACTCTCTTCTTTTAAGGCCATGACCTCTGTGCTGATCATCTGGGGGTATTTTCTGGTTGCATCTGCTAAAGCTCCTAAGTGCAGACCTGTTGATCACGCTCTACACCCTGTTCTGCTGCCTATGGGGCTGCAACTCAAGCAACCACACTTCCCTGGGATCTTGCTGAGTTTATACACACTTGGGAGCTCTCAGGGTTTGGCTCATTCCAGATGGCCTCCCTGTCCTTGCCTGTGTCACGCCGTAGAAGTCAATTCTCCAACTCACAGTAGTAACACAGTGAGTTTCAGCGTAGGGAGACCCCAGATGGAAGAGCAGCCGGAAAAGACGATGATGTTGGCATCCAGGCATTTACCAAACATTGTCTTTGGCAACAGCAGGAACATAATCCCAGGTTCCTGGACTCTGGTCTGAGTAACTATTCTGTGTCCTCACGTCTTCTCTGAGTCAGAGTACTTTGTCCCTTTTTCTGGCATCTAAATTGCAACTTATAATTTAACGGCCGCTATCTTTCACCTGCAGAGGGGAATGCTTCACAGCACTGCACGGAACAGTTGCCTTCTATTTAAACTGGCTTAGTGTCTCTCAGGATGAAGAATATTTATACAAACGAGAGGTCCTTCTGGACCACCGCTTAATTTCTCAGCAGATAGGTAATATGCACGGTACTCGGTCTATTCATTCCTCTGCTTTTCTTTTTCTTCTGCCTAGCCCTCTGTACGATCAGTACTGCAAAGACCACTTCTCAGATGGCCACTGTGACCAGGGCTGCAATAATTTTGAGTGCGAATGGGATGGTCTGGACTGTGCAAACAACATGCCCGAGAAGCTTGCGGATGGCACACTGGTGGTGGTGGTCCTGATCACTCCCGAGAACCTGAAGAACAACTCTTTCAACTTCCTGCGGGAGCTGAGCCGCGTGCTGCACACCAACGTGGTCTTCAAGAAGAACCCCAAGGGGGAGTACATGATCTTTCCATACTATGGCAATGAGGAGGAGCTGAAAAAGCATTACATCAAGAGGTCAACAGAGGACTGGTCAGATATGTCTAGTGCTGTCATCAACAAGGTAAAGAGCAGCCTCTACTCCAGGGCTGGCAGAAGGCAGAAGAGAGAGCTCGATCAGATGGACATCAGAGGGTAAGGGGGACCAATGGGTTCCTTTTTCACCGAGCAGCATTTGTTTTCTGTGTTGATAATAGTAACTCGCTAGAAAGGGAAGGATGTAGGCCAGATAATTGTATTTGGATGTCGCTTTCTGTGTGAATAGAAACCGGATTTCGCTCTCATGTGGGAAAAGCGAGTGATTGCTCAGGAATCCCTGATACAATGCTGCGCCGACTCTCACGATTGAAGGGGTCCTGTGTATTGTTGGGAGCTGGGGCTGGGCTGGGTGGGACCTGGAAGCAGAGGTTGGCCTGACCGACTGTCTGACTTCAGGAAGTCATTAAGTTAAGCCTCAGTTTCTCCCTGGGAAATGCTTTCTAGAGCTTTGTTGTAAAACTCAATTACTGCAAACTGTGTTTTGAGATCTTTGGTATAAACACATAGATCTAACCTTCTCCCTCTCTGCGGGCTCAATCAAAAGCCACCAAAAGCAAAGGAGTCAGAGCAGCGAAACTGATGTGAAAAGCTCTGAAGGCTCCCAAGCAGCATTATTTAAGATACCATAGGGTCTGGGTAATTTTAAAACATCGTGAAGCAGAGAGACTCCCTTCCGTTCCTGTAGATAAGGAGTTAGATTTCACAGTACTCGTTGAAGCAAATCCAATAGACCATGAGTGTGAGCTGCAGGGCTTGGGCCACAGGGAAGCCAGGAGATGGGTTCCCACCTTCTAATTCCCACTGATGGGGGGTTAAGGCGGGAAGGGAGACGGGGCTCGTCCGTCTGCAGCGTGGTCGTTGCTCCGCGTTTCTCATTGACTCTTCCCTTGCACAGATCCATCGTCTACTTGGAAATTGATAACCGCCAGTGCATCCAGTCGTCTTCCCAGTGCTTCCAGAGCGCAACCGATGTGGCGGCGTTCCTGGGTGCCTTGGCCTCCCTCGGCAACCTGAACATACCCTACAAAATAGAAGCCGTTAAAAGTAAGTAGGGCTGGTTGGCTGGGGAGGACAGACAGCCAAAACTTCGCAGCCTTACGCGTGTTTAGCTATCCATCGGCTGGCTGCATTTGAGCACAGTCTGGTTTTAGTAACCTTGCATCTTTTTTTTTTTTTTCTTTCTTTAAGTCTGTTCTTTAAAAAAAATATTGCAAAACCAGTTTATTGTTTTTGCTTATTCCAGGTTTATTTCAAAATCATTATCACTATAGAACTTATTAAAAAAAAAAAAAAAACAAAAAAAAAAAACAAAAGAAAAGAAAAAGAAAACCCAACCAGCTCCAATCAATCAGTGACATGCAAGGAGTTGAAGTTTGTATCTTGAAAATCCCCCCTAAATCCTTTTGTCTTAACAGCTCAATGCAAGCGCAATGATTTGAAGTTTGCTAATCCTTTTCCTTAAAGGAGAAAAAAGTGAAGCTGTCTCCTGATGCAGGCTGGCTTGTGCAGCCGAGAATTTGCCGATAGTTTGCAATTCTGATTAATAGCGTATAAAATGACCTTATTTTGGGGGGGCTGATTTAGATCAGACTTAGGTACCTCTATTAACTAATTTTCCTTCATTTCCACTCTGTCACCGGTTTGCTATGCAGCTTAATGTCTCAGCATCTCTTTGTGCCCCACTGTTTTGTAGGTGAAACAGCTGAGCCCACAAAGAACTCCCAGCTGTATCCTATGTACGTGGTGGTGGCTCTGCTGGTCTTGTTTGCTTTCATTGGAGTGGGAGTACTGGTGTCTCGTAAGCGGCGCAGGGAGCATGGGCAGCTTTGGTTCCCAGAAGGCTTCAAAGTGACAGAGTCAAGCAAGAAGAAGCGACGAGAACCACTTGGGGAGGACTCTGTTGGACTGAAGTGAGTAATTTGCTTGCTAACCTGTTAAACGCAGCGCAGCGGGGCTGCTCGGGGCTCTTCTGAAAGAACCCGTTGGAGTTTCGTTCTCTAGTGCATCGTGTTGGCGTAGCGGGGAGGAGAAAAATCAGGTTTTGTAAAGTTCTGCATGGGGAAAAACAGTGTTCCCATCCAGAGGAGGTTTTTAAATGCTTCGTGGTCCGTTTGCACTTGGTAAAAAATGAAATGCAACCTGAGGGGGAATCTCCTGGATGATTCCTCTTTCAGTTTGTGCGTGTAGATAAGCACTGTTCATCACAGACTAGTTCCGGCAGAGGAGCTAATTTTGTGTATGGTTTTATTTTTAAAGACCCCTCAAAAATGCTTCAGATGGCACGCTGATGGATGACAACCAAAATGAGTGGGGTGATGAGGAGACCTTGGACACCAAGAAGTTCAGGGTAAGCTCACTGCCACATTCCCTTTCTGTGCTGCAAGTAGGCGCTCGCTGGGTTTTGTCACGGAAGGAGCAGGGCGCTGCGGAAGGCAGCAGAGCAGAGGGACCCTCGGGGGCCCAGCCCGCGCCGTGTGTCACTGCTGCCGGCTCCTTCGCAAACCTGCGTGTGACAAGCGCGCCTTTGAGACTCGCCGAGCTTCCCACGCTAGGGCTCAGCCCCCTCCTCCCACCCTGACTTGTGCGCGTTGCTCGGTGCTCATTTCCCACTGTCGTTCCTCAGTTCGAGGAGCAGGCGATGCTGCCTGACACGGACGATCAGACGGATCACAGGCAGTGGACCCAGCAGCACCTGGATGCCGCTGACCTGCGCATATCCTCCATGGCACCTACGCCACCGCAGGGGGAGATCGATGCAGACTGTATGGATGTCAACGTCAGAGGTCCCGGTAAGGTGGACTCCTTTCACTTCTGTGCTGCTTCTCAGCTAATCTAAAATCCTCTCTTAGCCCTTGCAGGTGAGCAGTCCCAGACAGCCCTACCTGTCTCTATTGCTGGTACGGAGTCCCTGCTAGCCATTCTGCATCACATGGTTGCCATTGTGCAGGATTTAGAGATAGACCCTGCCACATCTTGTTTTCCATGAGATCTCTTTTGTTTAATCACTGAGGTAGAAATCAGAGAATATAGGAGAAGCACCTCTTAAAACATCCAGCTTATCTGTCTGCCGCTCCTAGACTCTCCTCCTCCCACCAAACTGCACATTTCACAATCTTTTCAGGTTTTTAAATATATTAATAGCTAATAGGCTTTTACATTATTACAAGCATTTGGTCTTCCCCACACCTGTGCAATTGTCTTCTGAAATAAGAAAAATATTTAAGGCTGCGCTGTACCATACTCGAGTTTGCTTTGAGCAACCTTCCTTATAAATTGCACCTTATATATTAGTGTGTGAGCTAGCAGATGAAACAGGAAAAGCAGTGAGTGGTGAGATACCACTAAGGAATTTCAGATCCATATCAGAGGAAGGATATTCGTGTTTGATGTTTAGAACCAGTCAGGAACTCAGTCTTGATGCACCCAGGAGAATAAGCATCTATCGCAGATGGAGCATCTTGCTGAGCCGCCTGCATTACAGAAGGGTACAAAGCCTTTTTTCACCAAGTTCCCCTGTGCTTTTCAGATGGCTTCACCCCCCTCATGATCGCCTCGTGCAGCGGAGGAGGGCTGGAGACGGGCAATAGCGAAGAGGAAGACGATGCTCCCGCTGTCATCTCAGATTTCATTTACCAAGGCGCCAGCTTACACAACCAGACTGACCGCACCGGCGAGACGGCGCTGCACCTGGCTGCCAGGTACTCCCGCTCGGACGCTGCCAAGCGCCTGCTGGAAGCCAGTGCCGATGCGAACATCCAAGATAACATGGGCAGGACGCCCCTCCACGCCGCCGTCTCTGCCGATGCCCAAGGAGTCTTCCAGGTAATCGATCCTTTTGCTGCCGGTCTCAGGGTTTTCTGGGGAAAGCGCTGGTGCTACGTGTTGAGTCAGCGACACGGCGGAGCTTATGGCAGGGTCTCCAGCTTGCCCTGGCAAGGCGTGGGGTGGAAGTCTTGAAAACTGAAGCCCCTGTTGTCTCAGGGCTGGGCATAGCGAAGCAGCAGCCCCGTAGCTGCCCTCCGATGTGCACCCCTAGATTGGGAAGGGGGACTGGAGGGACTGGCCTCTGAAAGGGGTTGCAGGTCCTGAGACCTGGGCACCTGGAGCGTCTGCTGTCTGTCCCTCCTAACGTTTGTGTTTCCTGTGCTTCGGCCCTTGTCGCGGCAGATCCTGATTAGGAACAGAGCAACCGATCTTGACGCCCGAATGCACGACGGGACCACTCCTCTGATCTTGGCCGCTCGCTTGGCTGTGGAGGGGATGTTGGACGATCTCATCAACTGCCACGCAGACGTCAATGCCGTGGATGATCTAGGTACTGTAGGCAACTAAACCATGGGCTCCCTCAGAGGTGGAAGGGAAGGGCTGCTTGCTGTTACGCTTACCACTCAATAATGTGTGTTGTCTGTTGTGGTCTTCCTCCGTAGGCAAGTCGGCACTGCACTGGGCAGCTGCTGTGAATAACGTTGAAGCCGCAGTAGTCCTCCTGAAGAACGGTGCCAATAAGGACATGCAGAACAATAAGGTAGGGGTCTCCTGGGGTGACATAGGCAAGGAAAGAACCATTTGGAGAGGCTGTTAAAGGGTAATTTTTGCCTAAAATACAACATTGTTTGGCACCGAGACTCTGATTTGATTGTTCTGCTGTGAATAAAGCTGTTGGATTTAGCTCAAAGCAGCATTGTGGGATCCAGTCCTACGGGTGATGTTGAGGGGCCGTGCAGTGCTTGGTGAGCAGTATGGTACAGCGTTAGTGTGGCCATCTCCTCGCACATTCTGGGTCACTCGTTGGGTTCCTTCTTTAATATCAGTATAAGGACATGGCTCAGCAGGGTAGGAACAAGCAGCAGCAAAACCTCACCAGAGGAGAGATGATTACTGTCTCTGCCACCCAACTGCATGGCGTTGGGCATGGAGCTCAGGATAGTGTTAGCAAGGAGAATCTCTGAACTTAAACCTAACAATCTCTGCTGGGTTTCTAGGAGGAGACCCCACTCTTCCTCGCAGCCAGAGAAGGGAGCTATGAAACCGCCAAGGTCCTGCTCGACCATTTCGCCAACCGCGACATCACGGACCACATGGACCGGCTCCCACGGGACATTGCCCAGGAGCGGATGCACCACGATATCGTGAGGCTGCTGGATGAGTACAACCTGGTCCGGAGCCCACCGCTGCACAATGGCCCACTGGGGGCACCCACGCTGTCCCCACCGCTCTGCTCTCCCAACAGCTACATCGGCAACCTGAAACCCGCCGTCCAGGGCAAGAAGGCCAGGAAGCCAAGTACCAAGGGCCTGAGCTGCAATGGCAAGGATGCCAAAGACCTCAAAGCCCGGAGGAAAAAATCTCAAGATGGAAAAGGATGCCTGCTTGACAACTCCAGTGTGTTGTCTCCAGTGGACTCCCTGGAGTCGCCCCATGGGTACCTGTCGGATGTTGCCTCTCCGCCGCTGATGACCTCTCCATTTCAGCAGTCCCCTTCCATGCCTCTGAATCATCTGCCAGGCATGCCTGATGCCCACATGAGCATCAATCACCTCAACATGGCAGGGAAGCAGGATATGGCCATGGGAAACTCCAGCAGGATGGCCTTCGATTCAGTGCCGCCCCGTCTCTCTCACCTCCCCGTCTCCAGCCCCAGCACGGTGATGAGCAACGCCCCGATGAATTTCTCCGTCGGCGGAGCGGCTGGGCTGAACGGGCAGTGTGACTGGCTCACCAGGCTGCAGAATGGCATGGTCCAGAATCAGTACAACCCGATGAGAGGCAATATGCAACCAGGGGCGCATCAGCAGACGCAAAACCTGCAACACGGCATGATGACCTCCCTGCACAACGGCTTGCCCACCACGAGCTTGTCGCAGATGATGAGCTACCAGGCCATGCCCAACACCCGGCTGGCTTCCCAGCCTCACCTGATGCAGAGCCAGCAGCTACAGCAGATGCAGCAGCAACAGCTCCAGCAGCAAAACATGCAGCCGCAACAGCAGCCACAGCAACCCCAGCAGCAGCCGCCGCAGCAGCCGCCGCCGCCGCAGCAGCACCACAACCCCAGCTCCAATGCGAGCGGCCACATCAGCCAAAATTTCCTCGGTACCGAGCTGAGCCAGCCCGACATGCAGCCGGCGAGCAGCAGTACCATGGCAGTCCACACGATCCTGCCTCAAGATTCCCAGATGCTGCCCACATCTTTGCCATCCTCCCTCGCCCAGCCCATGACCACCACGCAGTTTCTAACTCCACCTTCCCAGCACAGTTATTCCTCCCCCTTGGACAACACCCCCAGCCACCAGCTCCAGGTGCCCGACCACCCTTTCCTAACGCCATCTCCGGAGTCGCCGGACCAGTGGTCCAGCTCATCTCCTCACTCCAACGTGTCCGACTGGTCCGAGGGCATTTCTAGCCCTCCCACGAGTATGCAGTCGCAGATGGGACACATCCCCGAAGCCTTCAAGTAAAAGACGGTGCTTCAGAGACACTGGCGCTCAGTGGGAGTTAGAAGGTCGAGGGAGATCTTTTTTAAAAGGACATTGGATGCTTTTATTAAAGGATCCTTTTTAAATATGTTTTTATTAAAAAAAAATAAAAAGACAAATTAATTCCTTTTTTTTAGTATTTATTTATGTACTTTTTATTTTACATGAAAACACTGCCTTTTTATTTATATGTTCTATTGTTAAGAACTCAATGTGGGACACCAGTTGTGTTTCAAGGAATCAAAAAATTAGGTTTTTATAGGATGTTCTCTTTTGTTTGGGGGGATTCATTGTGTTTGATTTGAGAGGAAATGTTTATGTAAAGCTATAAGCAGCAATTTGTGATTCTGAAATGCCATTAACTTATTTTTTTCTCTTTCGACTCAGAAAGAGAGGTAAGAAAGAAAAGGGGAGGGGGAAAATTGACTAAAAATACCTTGGGGAGGGGGGAAGTATGGACAGATTTTTGAAACGTACTTTAAAATGTTTCCTTTGCTATTATATCTGAGAGGACATTTTGTGGTACCAGTCATGAATCTTTGTTTAAATTTCAGTATTATATAGTTGTACATTTGCCTTGATAATAGGAATTTTTGTTCTCTCTTGTTTTTATATATATAAAAATATATATTTAAATGATTTTTATGATAAAAAAAAATCAGGATTATAGACCTGTAAGAACAGGTTCTAAGCTAAAAAAAAAAAACCCTCTACAAAACATGAATACTGTCCCCCACCAAAAAGAAATGTATTTGCCAAACTTTTAAGAGAGCAAGCCCCTAACTATGGAGCGTATACACAAAGGAGACTTAATTTTACTTTGAATACCTTTACTGTTTTTTGTTTTCGTGTTTGCATTTGCGTAACTGTTTAAGAAATAAATGCCAATATAAACTTGTAAACCACATCCTTATTTTAAGGATGGCCTGCCTGTTTTAAAGAAGGCGTGTCTAAACGCAGACAACCTGAGTGAGCTGACAAAGCATTAGAACGCTGCCACCACCGAGTGCTCGCCCGTATCCAGCGCTTCTGGCAGCGCGATTGCTGGGTGCTCAGCGGAAAGCGCAGCCGGTTTTGGTGAGATGCTGGACTGGCTAAAGAGGAGGGCGAAGGACAGCGCGGCCGAGTCCGCGCTGTGAAACGTTAACATTTTGTTCTTGTTAGTCCGGAGTGATGCATCTTTTTTTATATTGATGTTCACTCTTCCTGTGTATCATGTAAAATATAGTACAAGCCTGTGGCAGATTTAATGTTTGTAAATATGTTTTGTTTTTTTAAAGAAAAGGTGGATTTTGTTTCAAAAATCTAAATGAGCAAGTCTTAAATATATCATAAATATATCACCTTATAGAGGTGTTGCAATATCACTCACTCGGGTGCAAAGGCAAGCAGACACCCTAAGACTAGATATGAGTATGGGACAGGCAAATAGAGAGCAGTTAATCAAGAAAACCTAAGAAAAGGGTTCCTTTTCCTCGTTCCTTTTTATTAGAACACCAAATAAAGTGGATATTTCTCAAGGCACAGGCGCCTTGCCGAGCACTCATCTTAGTTAACATTTCAGACCGTTGTTATCGTGACATGCCTAATATGAGTGATAAAAACATCACGTGGTATTGAATCTTCCTATGTTTTATAAACTAGAGTGTAGTTTAAGAAAAGATATCTTCTGTAATAAAGTTATCTACATGCAAAGTTGTAGTTTGCAAAAATGATGTATTTTTTTTGGTTAACTGATTTGCAATAAATGATGCTTCTGGGCATCTAGATTTTACTAAAACTGGAACTTAGTGTTTTTGTTACAGAGTGGTTGAAAGCTGGGCTTGATACCTGCTTCAGGACTGCAGGGCGGTCTCTCGGCACAAAGTACTGGCACTTGCCTGGCGTCTTGTTCTCTGTGTTAAAGCTCAGAGCAGGGCTTTGGACGGTGAAACTTTCTCCTTAACTTGTGCAAAACTCTCACCGACTTTTTAAAAAACTTTTCTTTCATTTTTTTAGGCGCATACTCTGGCTGATGAGCCGGCCAAGGGTAAAAAATGGCCACGTGCTTTTAATTACAGAGTGCCTATGGAAACAGAGCCCTCTGCCAGTGGTGTTAGAGTTCTGTATAGAGCTTCCTACTTCACACACAGTGCTGAGCATCTGGCTGGGCTCGGATGCGGTGGCTTGCACAGATAGGAACTGGGAAGCCATCCGGTGACACTGCCGAGGGGCAGCAGTGCCCGAGGGAAACTTTCCCTAATGCCACTCCAGGCACAAACACTGTGCAGAAATGTTTGCTGTCCTTGCTGCTCTCAAGATTTTTAATGTAATTTAATTTTTTCTCTTCCCCACAGGAACTGTAGTCCAAATGCAGCTGAAAAGTCCCCAGATAACTGGATATAAATAGCCGAGCCATGGACCTCCTCCCAAATCAGATAAGCTTGGTAACTCCTGGAATGCTGGTATTTTCCACTCTGTGGCCGGGGAGGGAGTAGGCATGTGTGTACGTGTACCCGGTATCCAGCCCCAGACAGATTCAGGGCCGCCAGACATTTGCTGTAAAACTGGTCAGATGGTGCTGCAGCGGTGGCATTTCATGTGCCACCCAGCAGCAGGGAAACGCAGAGGTTTTGGAGGGCAGGGAGGCCATGTGCCAGTGTGCACTCCCCACAAGCTCTGTGGCAAGGGGTATTTTAACTGAGGACAAATCCCTTTTCCCCCTGCAAAACGTGGTTCACCACCCGGGATCTCGTTACCCCGAGGGACGCCCTGGAGATGGGCTTCCTTAGACGTGCTCTTCCCCCCGCTTCGTGTCTCGCTGCATCCCATCTGGGATACGCTAGATGAAGTGCGTCTGCCTTCACCGTGGTTCGCACATGTGCTGTCCATGAATCACGTCTGGGAACATCCAGCCATGTTCCCACGCAGCCCAATCCTTCCAGGCCTCTTCCACACGCACGCGTCCCAGCGCTGGTGCCCATGGCTGCCTCTGTGCTGCCAGCGAGACCAGGAGATGCTCGTGCCAGGGACGGAACGAAAGAGGGGGCTAAATACCAGGGAAAGCAGCAAAACTCAAGGTCTGCATTGGCACATGAATAGATATGAATAAATTGGCCACAAGGTAATTCAAACTAGAAGTCAGAAAAGGTTTTCTAAGCAGTAGAGGAGTAAGGATGCACAGTTTAGTTTTTAAGCGTTTGGCCCCCAAGGACTCCTACATTTATGAAGGCATCTGGTGACCCACAAACTCCTCCCAGTCCCTTGTTCCTGCTTTCCCAAGTGGGTACATGAGATGGTCGTGGGATCACAGATGCCCAGCTGGGACTGAGGCAAAGTTAAATGAGAAATGAGAGAAACGGCCCTGGTTTCAAACCCTCCCTCCACACTTAGGACTTTCCCACCAACTCTCTATCCAGAAGGATTTGTCTTTCCCCAATCCCCTCCAACCAACCCACGGTGTCCAACCACAAGCTCAGCTTTATCTCATGTTGGTAAAGACGCTGGGAGCCGAGTTTCGAGCTCTCGTATCAACACAAGATGCTGAGGAATGAATGGGTTACGGCAAGCACAGTTGAGCATTCCGGGTGAAAAAGGCTGAGAAGCGCTAAGCTGATATCCCATGCCAAGGGAAGGGTTCAGAAGTGTTTGCGTAAGACAAGATTAGCACCCAGCTATTCTGATGGCAAGTATGTCGAGGCTATGAGGAACCGGTGCATCTGAACGATTTGTTTACATGCTGGAGGGCTTGGTTTTTTTTTTTTTTATTTATTCTTTGTTTTCATTATTCCTGCTCAATTAGATGGGACATTTAGAAATTGCTACTCTGTATTGCTTTTACCTCCAGGCTATTGGTGTTTGCTCAGAAAGTTGCTAACAGCTGCTGGAACCCTGATTGCTGAGCTGTTACTGCAGCTCGACTCACCCCGATAAGAACGTGCAAAAGGAGCCAAATTCATCTGAGGTGCAGCCTCTCTCCAATGCCACACGGGTTAATGTGGCTGGGGTAGTTTGAATAATCACAGCGACTAAATGAGTAAATAAATAAAGCTCAGCTTGTCCAAGTTGGCTAACCTGATACAGAATACTGATACTCAAAAGAGAAACTCTCCTTTAGCCTTTTTCCCTGTTTCTAAACTCAGAGGAGGATCCTTTTAATAGCGAGCTCCTGGGGCAGGGCTGCGTTGATGCTTGCCTGCAATGTGAAGGCTGAATAAATGATCAGAATTTAATGGGAAAAGGTCAGTATCATTTGCGTCGTTCCCTGAGTAAGCTGACGAAGCAGGAGAGAAGGCCACAGGCTGTCCTCTTCCCGCCAGCAAGCCGTTCTATTTGTGATGGGTCACTCTCAACTCCAGAACTGGCCGCATTTGCCGAGTACAGCAAACCAGTTAGAAAGCTTCAGGGTAAAAAGGGATTGAATGTCTTAATGTGACAATTCTTTATAATCACATGCTTACTTATCAGGGGAACAGCAAAGGTGAGAGCCCACCATTAGTGTTTGCATTGTGCATGTATGTGTATAGGTGCGTAAGAAGACGGTTAGATATGTAATGTAAATACTGAGCTATAGATACAGATGTAAGCTGCTGATGGTATTTGCTGAATACATATGTACTCTTAAAAAGCCAATCAGGCTAATTAAAATCATGTTTCCTCAGATTACACCTGTTGGGGGAAATATCGAGGGAGGAACAGGGCTTTATCTGCAGTTCATGCTTAAAATTGTGTTTGACAAGCTGGTTTATAAGAATGTTCCTACAAAAGAGGGAGATGAAAGGCACTTTAAAAATCACAGAGCTGCCTCTGGTTCCCACACCAGCATCAAAGTGCTGCTTCCCCTGCTTGGACCGGGCTTTGAGGCTATTACCCTGCTTTAATGATCAATGCAGAAACAGCTCTTGCGCCGATAAATGACCCTTGATTAAGATGTTTGTGTAGGTCGCTTGTATTTTCCCCTCCAAGGCTCCTTTTTGGGTGGAGAATGTGACAGTATCAGCACAGCGGCCACCGCCTGAGTCCTTCTTGGGTTTGAACGGGGACTCCCCCTCCTGAAAGCTTCGTGTTTGCGCAAAATAGACCCTCGCCACGGAGCTGGGGCGCAGAGCGGAGCCGAGGAAAATCTTTAGAATTGCACATGACTGTTTGGT